ATTGTACAGTGCCATTAAGTGCAGTAATGTGCACCTCTGCCTACCCCTTCGGGGATAAAAAGGCGTGATGTTATGTTTTTTGAATTGATGACAAATAAATACGCACAGATTTCACTGACCTGATTATCGGCGGCCAGACGTTTTGTACAAAATTTGAGATTTGTCTACCGTTAAAAGAATTTACGCTCTAATAGTCAAAGTGACTAAGAATATTTCTTGAAAAAATTGCCTGAGGGATTCAAAACGGTTTGTGCATGTCCCTTGGAGGTATCGAGCATCACTGTCTGTCTCAAAGCATTTTAGGTTGAAAGAATGTTTTACGTTTTATTCTACTGAAGTTGAAAATCCGTCCGTTTGATCCGTCTTTGGAGAATTGCAAGTGTGATATCATATTTTTCATCACTATCCAATATTGGTGTCAGGGGTTGATAATTATTTATCAGTCCGCGTGATTGCCCAATGCAAGATAATGGGTCTCTTTCTCATAGGGTTTGATCATAACCGAGATGATTTTCAGGTCGGTCTAAGATCGCAGCTTAAGTAGTTCAGTTATTCAATAGCTATCCGGTGTTAATTGTCAAAAATGTTGACTTTTGGTCAGTTCGATACTCGCAAAAATAGGAAAGGTAGTGACGAAAACATTCAAGGTCTCACACGTCAATTGTATGGTTACTAATTAAAATCAGGTTCGATTGGAGACTTAATATTGTGCACTTTACATTCCAAGAACAGTTGAGCATTACATTTATCTGTTGTACCAGCCGTCAAATCTAAATATCACGAGACCGGTCAACGTAACTAGAAATAAATTAGCCGCGCCAGCCAACCGGTTCCATTCATCACTGCGTCACCCTCTATTTAAAAGTATTTGCATAATCTATGAGCGGATTATACTAAAGTGTGTTTGTTCAAGTACACTTTGTGTTTCAATGAATGGAGTGTTAGTTTTACTAACGATGTTCTTTGAACAAGTGACCTATAAGAATAATTTGTTGACTGCATTATAATTTAACCTTTATGTCAAAGGTGCGTTGTAGGCGAGAATAGTAAGCTTGTGTGATTGCCGAAGAGGTCAAGTTAAAAAACAATCCTGACCCCATTAATAAACGTTCAGGATTTTTTTTTATTTGAGCTTCTCGCAATCTGGTGGTCCTTGCATACGAAGCCGAGCCTAAAATGTTACACAGAGGTTATAAAAATAACATAATATATGTATTTTTAATTACTTTGTGTCCATGCGAGTTACTATTTATTTAACTATTATATTCAACCAGAGTCTATGATAGTTAGCTACTAGCAAAGTTAAATGTCATATATTAGATGCAATGAATGTGATATCGCTCCAGCAATGCAGCAGTGGATAGTTTTAATAGATACTAGCATTCAGCTGAAACTGGTTACATCTCAACTGACCCAAACTAAGTTAGTAAGACATAAGATAAATAGATTATCACCTCTGAACTTTATTTTTATGCACGCTACAAAAGCTAGTTGACATAAAAAGTGACGGTTTCATCATCAGACAAATCGAAATCTATGCATAAAAACTTAAGGTTTCAAATCCCTTGTAATAGTTGTGTATCTACGTTTAAAAACACGAAGAACAGCGAGCATGCAATCGATTTGAATCGATAATTCATCCGATTGAGTCGCATTTGGTTTCAAAATACCGATTCTAGTTTTAGTGAAGGTGTGTGTATGTGTGTGTGTGTGTGTGTGAAATTCCGTTTTGGAACTTTATTTCTGGAAAATGTGAGGATATTTGTAGTATCGTTGTGGTCTCGGTTATATCCAAATATCGTTTAGTTATCGCATTATGGTTAAATAGCACTGAATTCACGATAAGCTACAGCGTTTGTGCTCTAAACATATTCCTCTTAGTGTTTGTTACGGATTGACTAGTTCAGGAGTTACTACTACTATTATTAAGTGGGAGAGCCATGTTTCGGCACAAATGGGCCGGCTCAACCGGAGTGATACCACGGCCTCACAGAAAACCGACGTGAAGCAACGCTTGTGTTATGTTTCGTCGTGTTAGTAAGGCTTCCGGCGGCCCAATTACCCTCCCCTTTGCCAATCTCCCCAAATCCTGAATCCCCAACGATCCTCAAACTACTAGGTAATCCCCAAAAGGCCGGTAACGCACTTGTAACGCCTCTGGTGTTCCAGGTGTCCATGGGCGACGCCGATTGCTTACCATCAGGTGATTAGTGTGCTCGTTTACCAGCTTATGCCATAAAAAAACTACAGCTAATTACATACATACAGGAGTCTACAAAAACTAATTAATTAGTAGATCGTACATGCCCTAAATAGTAAAGTTTTGTAAATTAGAATATATTATTACAATTTATTTTTTGTTACATCTTTACCCCTACGTTTGAGTATAAAGAACATAAAAATCATAGTATATTATATGTACCGAAATATAAAACTTTAGCTGGGAAAACTAACTTTATTCCTTATTTTGGTTGACAGTTGGTAAAGAACCTTTTCTTCCTGGTTCTGGGTTACCTTAGACCATACCTGAAGAACTGCCTAACGTTTGTGGACTATTCAAAATTGAATTTGAAAAATCCCTTCAACTTTGGTCATCGAGACGACACTAAATGAATGGAGATACAATGATAAGCCGAATGTAAAAAATTAAATCTGTTTTGGAAAAGCAAAACTAAAGAGATAGAAATGTTAATAATATAAATATTCTATTTCTGAAAACAACAGGCATTGAAGACAAATCATGTCATAATAAATAAATTGTATTATATAAGTATCTAGTCTTAACATTCAACATGATTTATGTAATAGAAATCCGTTTGTGTGTCAACCTAGCGACCTCTTTGTAATTCTATCTGTTTGACATTTGTAACCATTGTCTTTCCTACGCTCTCGTGGTCGTCTATGCGAGTCTCTGCCAGTGACAGGCTAGTAAGCAAGTCTAGCTAGTCTTTGATCTAAAGGATATTACATATCGGTTCTTGCGGATATTTATCGCAAAGTCACGTCGCTCCGGTTATCATTAAAATTATTATTGTCCTGTCTATTATAACCCGTCTTTATTACTGTGCAATAATAAATTGTTGTTTTTACTCAGTCATCTTAGAGTTTTAGTTTTCACTGTCACAAATACTTCAAGCCTCATTGTATTTTTTTCATCTTTTTTATGTGTATTAGTGGAAATAGTTACATAGAATGTTATAGTATAGTCTCACGTTATTTGACATGCTGATATGCTGTATAAATTGGATGTCAATGATTTGCACTAGCACCTTATATCGTATTTAAAGGTCTTACAAACATTATCGATACAAGATAAAGAATTAAAAGTTTTTCTAAATGGTTTTATTTTTTTGTAATCTGCAGGAGTCGCGCTGGAGCGTCGTTAGACGAACGGTTCAGGGCGACGGATGACGCGGGCGGTGTCCGGTTGACGGTATCTGCAGCACGGACCGGAGATACCAATGTGTACACGCTACAAGTGAGTAATGCACCTTTATTTTTATGTAAGAAAGCTGCGTGTGTCGTTGTGAATGAAAATTTTTATGATCAAGTGTACTGAGGTACACAGGTATGTAGGCTTATTAAAATTGCCTTGGACGTAAGCATGTACTTTGATTTATGTTAGTGGTTTGACGCTAAGTTAAATTATTTGCAATGATAGACCGGAAAATTATAGGGTTATTTGTAATGAAGTCAGTTGATAAAACTTTGACTATAGATGACACCTACACTAATAGGCAGTAATTAAGCTACATAGTTACCAGATCACACATACATACAAATGTACATATGTACGAGGCTAACAGACATTGAACTAGTGCACACCTTTGGACGCATCGGATGTAATACACACTATTGTTTGCCCTGAGAGGATGCAATAACACTTAAGGTACTGTTACACTTCCTCTAAAATAGCAAAGGCGTTCTATTGAGTATGCTCACGAATATTTAAAAATCGAATACCTGTCGATTCGTAACAGTACCCAATTGGGTACTTTACTAATTCAAAATTTGTTTTTTTCGACTGTTCAGTACAATAAAATATTAAAAAAAATAATCACAATTTCATTAAGTAATTGATTTTATGACCAACTTCATTTTAGTTTTATTATTTAACAGCAAAATTTTAAGAAATAAAATTGCTGTTTGATGCAAAAGAACGTGACGGCGCAATTCAAAATCTCATACAAATTCCATAGAAAACTGCCGTTTCTGACAGCTTGAATAAAGTATTGAATTTGACTAGTTAATAAGTACCCAATTAGATAGTCTTACCGCCGTATTCGGAGTCATTTAATGGCTACTTATTCCAGTACTCAACAATTGTTTTCGGAACAAGATCGTTACGAAGGAATAGTCTCACATGTCTCTGAGTATCACAGGAAGATTTGCAAACATGGCCGAAATGAGCATTCTAATTGTGAACAACATTCCGATACACATACTATAATAATAGTAACTGACAAGTGCTCGATTAAAGCATACTTTCATGCTTTAAATTAACACGTGTAACAGTACCTTTACAAGGGAAACCAGGGGACATATTCTTACTTGTAACTAAGCGGTATGACATATGTGGTATGGTAAAACGCCTTACGTGTCACTGAAAATGGACATCAAAGCTTTGATTGTAGAAATTTAGGTTTCAATAGCTGGACACCTGTTCATTGGCCCTACAAAGTCTTGAGTCTCTTTGAGGCTGTAACTGCCGAATTCCTAAGGTAAATTCAGCGCAAAGCAGAGGTGGATTGTAGTCGTGTTTATTGGAGTAAGTATCAAACTATAATTGTTGTAATTGACATCATAATTTTTTTTTCTCAGAACGGTAATTATTTTCACTTTTACAATCTTGTGTTGTATAGCGGTTGTCTCTTTAAGTTTTTGAAAATTTGTCACGATTTTCATTTTAAGTAATTTCGAACAATTTGTTGGTTTTAATTGTTTTCCTAAATTACGAACATGGTTTGGTTTTTTGCAAAAATTTAATCGCAAATACAACAAAATCATAATTTTTGTTATTTGAAGTCTCATAATTATACAAAACTACTCGTATCTTCCTAAAATGCTTTACATTAGAAGACTTAAAACCACCTGAAGCTTTCAATGTTTAAGACACATATCAATCTAGAATTTGAAGACTCCCTTATAAAATATTTAGCTAGCCTTCCTGCCATCGTTTCGATCGATAGAATTACTGAACCTAATTACACCTAGGTATAATGCTATAGGCTGTACGATGCACGCAATATGGTCAGTCTCTCCGAGGATGACGACCGACAATGTCCGCCGTTACCTCAGGCACTTGTGCACTTGTTGCTGCAGCGCTCATGCAGGAAATGTTGACGAGGACATGGTCTGAATATACTTTATTTTAAAACTTTGCCACTTTCATTATATTTTTCGTGTATTTATTTAGTACAGCACAACATAAGATACTTAATGTACATAATATATTGTTCGTTGTTCGATTTTTCATTTAACTGGAAGGATTTTTATAATGTCTGTTTTAGTGTTTCTTTCGTCCTTATACTTGATATTTTGTTTATTCCTTTTGCAAACCACACTTTTGATTATGGAAACCTTTTTTGAGAGAATTGTGATCTTTACCAAGCAGTAATCTTATGTTGGCTAATGACGCCATCTTTTCACATTATTAATTATTTGATGAGTGTGCTCGGACTGTCTATGAATCGCAATATAGGGGATTTGTGACTAGCGTAATACTTTTGATGCTTACTCATTTATAAGGTCGTATTTCTCCCAATAATGTGTTGTGTGAATTCCTTTACCCATATACCTACTTCACTGTCAATAATCGGATATGAACTAAATTGAATTTCGCTTTGTATTAGGCTAGTAATGCAGCCGGGAGTGACACGAGTCGAGTCCGGCTGGAAGTGAGTGCAGATGAAGCTCCCACGGGAGAGGATCCCCCAACCTTCTTGCGACGTCTGCAAGACCTTACTGTGAAGGTCGGAACGAGGACACGGTTTCTCGTTGAGATCGTCAGCTCTACTGAGTGTAAGGTAAGTCTTGTATAAAAAGTTCTATGCGAACTATCTCTTTTCTAAATGGTGACACGGTGTTATGTCATGGTAAATAGGGATCTTAATTTTTGCATTGTGTCTTTTATTTGATTCTTTAAGCGTTAGTTCATTGATGTATGTACGACCCAGTTCTGGAAAATGACCATATCATATTGTACTGGGACTGGTCTATCATCACTGACAGGACTATTATAGCCAATAAACCTGATATAGTGGGGATAGATCGACAAGTACGCCGCACGATGATAATCGATATCACTAATGTCAGGTACATTGTGGTGATAGATCGACCAAGCCGTCGCACAATGATAGTTGATACCACATGATGAGAATCTTGTGAAAGCTGAAAAAGATAATGCAAGTAAATATTATCTTTATTTAGCTCATGAGATTGTCGACATGTGGGATGTGGATTCAGCAGTCATTGTGCCGATAGTCGTATCTGCCAATGGCCTCATTGCTAAAAGCCTCGACCAACATCTGAGTAGGGTAGCTTAGATGGTTGGGTCAAGGGTCTAAGGAATAAAGCAGTATTTCTGGACACGGCGCGTATTGTCCGGAAAATGCTTTTTCTGGCGCCCTGACCACCGCGGTGGTGATGGTAGCTTGGATTTCTCTCGTTACTGATAGGCTACAGCTTTTTTATATTTTAAAATGTGTTTTTTTGTATAATCAAATATTTAAAAATACATATATAAGTCAAGTATAGAAATAAATACAGGAGATAATATAATTATATACAAATATACATATCATTACACTGACTTTATTCTCAAACTCAAACTCAAAGTCTTTATTTGCATGTTAAGGTAATACATACAGTCGCGGAGAACCTAACGGGTAACTGGGGCTCCGACTCGATGTGCAGGAGAAGGAACGGGGTGGTTTTTAGTCAGTAAGAGTCTGACACTCCCTCCCGTCTCACCCAGGCGGGAGCAGTCATTCAATGATTTTCCCCCCTTAAAAAAAAAAGGTAATACATACAGGTCATTACAGGTCTTATGAAATAACAGGCACAGCTTAACGGCCTTTTTCAGGCGTTGCAAATGTTAGGGGTTGTCACTAGCTTAATATAAATGACACTTTGGTTAACATTTTTTTTTTTATATTGATTGATTTGTTCGGAATATAGGTAAGTACTTAAAGTATATAATATATTAGTGGGTTAGTGCAAAATGTAAGTGGGTATTCTTAAAATGTATAGTATATAGTACATAGAATATTTATATTAAAATGTATAGTATGTTGGTGTGTGCTTGTGGGGTGAGGGATTATGTATGTATGGGGTAGGTTTTAACATTTAATTTTGGTGTTATATTTTTCTTCGAAGAATTCTTTTGTCGAGTAAAAGCATTTTTGTATTAGGAACTTTTTTAATTTTCTTTCAAATATAATTTCTTTGGTTTCGTTTTGT